TGCATTCAGCAGACTCAACAGTTGCACAACAGTTGAGTAATTTGTCAATGTAATTGGTCTAGATTTAGGGATCTAATAGCAAGAACCAATAATCGTTGATTGCTCACTGAGCGCTTTTTCTACTGAATGCGCCCATTGATTCTTCTTACGGTCCAAGAATCAACGACTGTGATTGGTCAATTTGCTTACTGCTTACGTCTTACTGCTCAAGTTTTTCTGTATACCACGGCCCTAAAGGCCTTTGCACGTAGAAAAATTTTAACCGTAAGGTCGTAAGAAAACTAACCAATCACAGTCGACTATTCCTCGAACGCAAGGAGAATAATCAACTCTGATTGGTCAGTTTTCTTACGATCTTACGATTACAATTTTTCTACGTGCAAAGGCCCTAAGTATTACTTTATGGATATATATTTTTATCTTAACTTTATGGATATATATTTTTATTTTAATTCTTTTACAAGAATTTTTAGCGTGCATTTTCTCGCTTCTGACGTCATTAAAAAAAGAGATAAACAATGTGGGAAGGCAGGAGTCTTAACATCTTATTAACGATTGTCCATACTTTCACATGTGTTTTCACTAAATATTTGTTTTATGCATGGTGTGTGTGTGTGTGTGTGTGTGTGTGTGTGTGTGTAGTGTGCACGCCCCCCACACACAGTGATCCCAGATAGGTCCGCTTTTCCGCGCATGCGCGACGAAACAGCTTCAGTGAAGTGTGTATATATAATTTTATACATTAAATTCTATATATAATTTTATAAATTAAATTCAATATATGTTCTTTTTTTATGAGCAAACATAATTTGGTTCAACGGCACTCTCTTTTTAGAACATATATTTCACTGAAGCTGTTTTCGTCGCGTATGCGCGCAAAAGCGGGCCTATCTGGGATCACTGCCACAACACGCGTGGGCGCACGAGATTCACAAAACATATTATTATTATTATTACTATTATTATCAATAAACATTAAAATATAAAATATAAATACAAAAGTATCACATAATAGGACTACAGATACATCTTATCTAATTGACATTTTCGTCCATTTGGAAGAGAAGTACAAATATGCAAGCACTGATTATAGCAGTGGAGCATTATCAATTATAAATAAGTACATTACTAAAATATATTAATCTCAATTTAGGCACTTGGTCTATATTATAGTTCGTCATGTTTCATACGAGAAGTAACAATCTCTAAAATTTCATCTCTTATCGTATTAGCTGTCGCTCCAGTTATTTTGAAACCATCGTACCTATTGTTTCTTCTCTGTTTGGGTTTGTATAATATTAATGTAGGAAATACTTGTACATTTGCCTCCATGCAATCGTGCATGTAAAGATTACAATTGATTCTTCCAAATCGTACTTTTTCCACTAACTAAAATCAACATAGTATTTACAATGGACCAAATAGTTAAACTATTGAATGAACTGTATACATCAAACATTGAGTGAACTGTATACATCAAAAAGTAAAAGATTAAATAGCTTATAATAAAGTAACGCTTACCTGGGCGGCAATTGCAAACTGAGGTTCCATTCTCTGACAATGGCCACAACGTAGTACATAAAACTCGACGATCCATGTATGCTTACTATTCAGTACTTCGTGGTATTCCGAAGGTTTCAAATCACGTACTTTCTTTGGAAAAAACGTCGTTATCCACGTTAATATGGATAATGAATCTCGTCGTCCATTGTACAAGCTATAACATAAAGTAAAGAATATGTAAGACAAATCGAAAGTTTCTTGTTCACGCAGTTTCACTGCGAATTATAATTATTGTATTATATATTGTATTATATATTATTATATCATATAATTATTATTGTACTCACGCAACCGTACTTAAACCCTCGCTTCCTATCGGGTACAGTCTAATGTTGGGGTATGAACGCACTCCCTGAGACGCGCACAAGGAAGCCTCAATCTCACAATTCACACTAGCCACATTCGTAAACGACAAGTCGCTCAACGACTTTGCAACAGTTATCCACTCGGATGCCAATCGCTGACACGGTCCACACCATGGTGCAAAGTAATCAATGATCCACATAACTTTACTCTTCTTCTTCGCCAATTCGCGATAAAAATTCTCCGACGTTAATTCTATTACTATGTACGAAACAATCAGAGACAATGAGTTGAAATGCATTGCGTGCTGCAAACATTTGATTTATACCTGAGGGGTCTCTTCTCTCGTTGATAAATTGGATAACGTTCGCAGCCGTTGTTTGTGTTGTAAATTGATATGTACTGCTGCCGTTGATGAGCATCGCGGTAGGGTAAGAGTATATATTGTATTGACGACATAGGACAGTATGGACGGTGCAATCGATGGTACCAAAACGAACTATTGACATATCGAATTCTAATGATGCTCTGCGAAGTTCTGACAAAAAATGTACACAAGGTGGACACCATGGCGCGTACCAATCTAAGAACCATACTTCGTTTTCTGCAACAATTTCCTCCCGGTCAGTGTCACCGGGGCTATCTCAATGCAGCTATTGAAAATGTAAACATAGAAAGATTACCACTTTTTCTTTGTAGTATCGACAATGTTTCCTCCGCGGTGAGAGCCCAAACGTTTGTAGCTTTCGCACTAATTCGCACGAACTTGCTAATGTCGTTGTAGGTGTTCTTCCCGTGGTGCAATTCAAATGCTCCACCTGGCTTAAGAACACCCCATATAGGATAACGATTCACGCCCAACTGTTGACAAAGTTGTTGGTTTCTGCCACAATTTATTTTACCTACAAAAGAGAACATTCCGTATTACACAAAAGTAAAATGTATACCAGTGACACAGTGTGACTTTGTAAATGGATTGCGTGTCTTTACCGAAATTGATATTAATGACCGAAAGTTTTTTCATTTGTACATCTACCGCCGCTGAATCGCCAAGGTAAAAGCATACGAGCCAAGCGATATCAAACTCCGTCTCTTTGATATTCTGCAAACCGTATTGCGAGCGTTCTCAATCGAAATTTTCACAAGAGTTTATTAGAGGATACTAATTGAGGCTTTGCTCACTTCAAAATCGCTTTCGGTCAGCTCCTGTGGCCTTGGCAACTGGTCTAAGAGTTTCTCTATTAGTGCACTATTGTCAGGGATGTTATCGAAAAATACAGGTTCCCAAGAAGATGCATTATACGTCGGCAGATAGACTGCATGTGTATTATAAGATATTTTGCGATGACAATTGCCATCTTCGCAAATAAATATCTTCACATCGATCACTTTATCCTAAAATGGTACAACTGCATGTTATAGCAATTACTATTATACTGTGCAATAAACATAAGATGCGATATTTACGAATATTGCCGCTACTATAAGCTTCTCTTCAGATGTAAAATAATTTTGTTGATCGCCACAAATAAAAATTAATACTGGTCTTTCAGTAATTTCCATGCCACGCAAAAACAGCTTCCACTCGGATTTACTTATTTCAGGAACATGAATATTTAGTCTGTCTAATGCAAATCGCATAATAGCTTCTCGTGAATGTCCTCCCGCATAGTGTGTTCCATGCTGCGAATTCTTTACGACAAAAGTACGCGCGAGTTAATACTTTGTTCTACCAACAAATGATAAGATACTTGAGTTATGAAAACTATACAATTTCCTGCTGAAATATAGACAATCATATCCAAATTAAGGATGACGACTGCTTCAACTGAACCATTTAGCCAAAATTTTTTCATATTTTCTCGCTTATAAATATTTAAAGCTGAAAATTTAACACCTTCTTTGTACATTTTGTAAACAGACCTTTCTGAAGTGAAGCAATGTAGGATAGGCTCTGATTCCTACTTGATGGCACAACTGCCAGTTGTCTTCGCAGTTGACTGCTGCAATCTTCACTACACCATTGAGTAACTTTGCAACTTCCTTCCAGACAGGTGCTAAATGATGACAGTGACTGCACATTGGTGAATAAAAGTTCACAAACCAGGTTGAGTCAGAGTTGATGACACTTTCGACTGTATAAAGACGTATACATATATTAACATTCAATTGAACTTGATGAAACTGTACGAACAAAAATAATTATATATTCACAATAATCATATTTCTCTAGAGTAACAACATGCTGATCATCCTCGTATATATCAAAATTATTCTGATAATAACTCCATGAATGATAGGTTTGTTTCTTATTAGACATATCAAGCCCATCTTTTCCATAGAGATCATATTTTCTTCTTGAATCTGGTTCCTTCAATATCTCATAAGCTGTTGTCAATTGAATAAACTTGTTATGAGCATCTGGATCATCCTAAATTAATATATTATTAACAGCATATATAAACAGTAGTAAATTATATCTACATATACACTTTTTAACAACAATCTACATACACCATTTTTGTCAGGATGATGAATGATGGCTAGCTTTTTAAAAGCCTTCCGTATTTCATCCTGACCAGCTGATTTGCTTACACCAAGAATTTCATAATAATCCTCTCCGTGTATCAAGATAATGACGACAAAGAAAATAAGAATGACTTTATACCTGTGCAACAGTTTCCAATGGATATAACAAAATGAAAAGTGACATATAATGCAAAATATTACATCATAATTCAAAAGCAACATTTACTCAACATTATCTTTGTATGTAAAAATTAAGCAAGTGATGTTCAATCTGGAATATTATTAGGGATACAATTTGATAAATTTGAACATCTGTAAATAAAAACACACAAAAAAGTTTTATGTCGAATCTCTTGAAATATTTTATAACAACTATAGTCTCAATATGTGACACATACACAGTAATTGCGAATAAATCAAACTTTCCTTTATACACCTGACTCAAAAGTTGAATATAATGTAATATAATGTACCTACATTTCTTAAAATCTCTTTCGCAGCTCTTCTACAGGAAAATATGAATCTAGCGCTCGGCCAGATTCATGCGATCAATTTCGGTAACATAACGTAGCTCCACGTATCCGAATGAACACCCACGCTATAATTTCACATGATCACACTGTATTTGACTTAAACCGCGGATCCAAACTAACCTAACCTAACCTAGCCTAGCCAACTCAAGCCAAGTAGAATTTCGATTCAGTACAGATGAATGACTGGAGCAGTAGTCAAATTCATCAAGAAGAGATGAATATTGAAGAAAAAAAATGTAAAAGGGAAAATGACTTCCAAATTGTAACAGAAAACAAAGTCTGCTATTGAGTGGTATAGTCTATAAAAATAGCAAGTCTTCAGTCTGGTCTGCGTTTAATGGACTATTTAAGAATTTTTTAAATAAATAATGGATTATCTCCGTCGTACAGTTGAGTCGTATTTTCTACTTGGGAATAAAAAGATGTGTGTGACATTTCGTTGAGTCATACTACGATCTAGAGTGCATCCAGGATTCACATCATATTAGAATTTCCACATGATCTCTCAATCTCTACTAATAAAACAAAATTTTGCATCTTCTCTCCGAACAATAGATTCTTCACTATACAAAAAGCATTATATAATGCAAATAAACAACGATAATACTGAAGGAGATCCCTCCTCCTCACCGATTTGGCCGAAACTTAGTAATATTATGTAATTAGATGCATAGAAAAGGAATATAAAAATAAAAAATGTCGCTCGTTAATCGTAATAAAGTTATAATGCGGTAAAAAATGACAGATTTTGAGATTATACAATCTGTCATGTCCCAGTAAACACATAATATCATTCATATTACAATGTCAGCTCAATTATATGGCCTATTATGTAACTGTTACTTTGTTATATAACAAAATAACAGTTATGTAATATACTATAGTATAGTATAGTTTAATAATAAAATTCTTTTAATAAAGTTTTTTTTTGTATGTCTCATGTTCACTTGGGGTGAACTGAGTAGTTCCATAATATATAATAAATAATATAATAATATTGTGGACATACAAGTGTTCATTTATATATATTTTATATATGTCATCTTGTTATTCTATACTTATCATTATTCTTACATATCCATTCATATAAATAGGTAATAAATATTTGTTATACATCTCTGTAAACTATTATTCTTTATTATTTGATACACCCTTTTTATATTATATATTTCTTACATATCTTTTATTCATTAAATTATATATATATATATATATATATATATAAATTGTCATAAATTATTAATTTAAAATTTTAATTATTAAAAGGTTTATAATATTTTGTGTCAAATACAATTTTTTTATTATTTATGTACTAACATTACTCAAATATATATTTAATAATAAACAATGATAAACAACTTTATTGTGACTTTTAGTGTAAACTAGGGATCTGTTTTCTGCTTTTGTACTGTGAAATGATGCGAAAACGAAAAAGTTACTGGTTTGTATACTTTTCAGCTTCATCTTTTCTCATTCTAATAGCGTGTTCGACTGGCCCTGGATTAATCGTTCCGAGAGCGATTAATGATGTCATAAGTCTCTACTAGCCAATCATAAAGCTTATAAGTACTTGTTCGACCAATAAACGTAGGCTGAATAACCCAGATGGGTTAACCCAGAGCCAGTCGAACATGCTATAACTTATGGCTTCTGCACACAAGACGCGGTAATACTTACCGCGCGGCGGAAGTTCGCGCGACAACCAATCAATATGCTGCTTTCCGTAATAACCTACTAGCTCTCACGGAAAAACAACATATTGATTGGCTGTCGCGTGGACTTCCGCCGCGCGGCAAGCATTACCGCGCCCTGCGTGCAGGAGCCATTATTGCACTAATTCGCAGTGCAGCTGAAAAAAATACCATATAACGTAGGTAACTAGTAATTCACCAGCACACACCGACTCCCTTCACTTTTTCGTCGAGTGGTTTGGTGTAAAGTCATTAGATATATAAAGTACCACAATTATCCGCCATGTTTATTCCAGCTACACGCGGTTGATTCAAAACGTCTATATTTGTATGAATATATTGCGTAAAGTAGAAAAAAACAATAACGTTAATCATTTTTTTATTTGTATAACATTTAACATTTGTAACACATAATAAATAGCTATTTCAACAGCTACTTTATAGAACTACACTTAATGTGTAGATAAGTTACACGTTTGCACTAGATATACTTCTGATGCCATTTTTATTGCAACGTCGTAACCACGAATTGCGGTACTTTATATATCTAGTGACTTTAATTTGGTGGCACACGGTGTGCCTCTTTCTCCGTTTCCGAACGATCTCACACGGGTGCACACCGAGCCACACTGAGGTTGTGTTCTTTTATTTGCAACAGATGTAGCTAAAAATTCTCTAGTACAAAGAATCGTCAACTTGGTATGTGTCCAGCGGGTGTATATCAGTTGGACACGGGGCAATTGGACACAGTCCAATCACAAGTCGCTGTTCCAAGGAACCCTACAAATGTCTCTAATCACACGGTGCTGTGATTGGCTGTGTCCAAATGCACCGTGTCCAAGTGCACCGCTCCCGTGACCAGCTACTCAGCTACTCTGCGATTGGCTGGCATGAACATGTATGGATTTGAACATTGCGACGCCGATGCAAAACCACATATATATATACATATATATATATATATATATATATATAAGCATTTGTTCTGCATTGGCGTCGCAATGTCTAAATCCATATATATTTATGCCAGCCAATCAGCTGGTCACGTGACCAAGTTGGCGATTCTCTGAACTAGAGGTTCTCTAGATGTAGCTGAATGCATCTCATGAGGTTTGTCCGAAATACTTGTACTATTCACACTTTTACACCTAATACCCGTTGCACCTCATACAACACAAATTTTCCAAAATACTGAAGAAATACTAAAGTTCTGAAGATGCCTTTAGGACGGAGGGACGTCATCAGAATATTTTTAGGACGTCCTTTGAAGATGTGTTTTTCTGAAAATAGCTAATATCCAATAAGTTTATTCGCATTAATTGAACTTTTTATACTTTTACACTTAGTGCACATTAATTCTTTAGAGGTTCTAAAAATGACGTCATGATTTCCGTTCGTGTTACGAGTGTAAATGCAATTCTAATACACTTTTTACACTTGATCCCAAGCAAGAGTGAAAAATGTATCAGAATTGCATTTACACTCGTAACACGAACGGAAAACATGACGCCATTTTTAGAACCTCTAAAGAATTAATGTGCACTAAATGTGAAAGTGTAAAAAATTCAATTAATGTGAATAAACTTATTGGATATTAGCTATTTTCAGACAATTCAAACTTTCAAAGGACGTCCTAAGAATATTCTGATAACGTCCCTCCATCCTGAAAACGTCTTCAGAATGTATTTTTGAAAATTTGTGTTGTTTGGAGTGCACTAGTGTGCAACGGGCATTAGGTGTAAAAGTGTGAAAAGTACAAGCAACTCAAACAAACCTATGGATGCATCAAGATTGCACTTTTTAAGGTTACTAGCTAGTGATGTACTGTCCCTAGAAAATAAATTTTCCTATTGACTATTAGATCGTCGTATGTCCGACGTCGGGTCCCAATCAGTAATGTATCAGTATTGCATTTATAAGAATTGTAAGAGAGAGAGAGAGAGGCAGTCTAATAATAATATCAAATAATATAAAAAATATCATT